CCATGTGCCGCAAACTTTTATTATCAGGAACCTTAAGCCAATATAAATTAAGGTCAAAGTTCCAAGCGTCCAATGTATAGGTCGGCACGACTGACATTTGGTATTCGTAATCCGAGACCACATACACCAAGAAGTGTGCATAATTAGTTAACAAATGTAAGCTCGAAAGACTATATAAAATGAATTTTTGGGCACTCTAGAGATTCGTCGGTGTAAAATTCGTCTACTGGCAGGTATTCCTTTATAGCTGTTACGTATACGTAAACCATCCGGATCACATTCCTATCAATGATAGGATAATCTACCAAAGTAGACTCAACTCACAGCATGCACACGGAAAACTGCTGAATTAGTGCACATGAATCAGTGTCTCAACTTATGTACGTGTATGTATTCTGGACAGAGAATTTCAAATGTTGATATTGTCGCTTTGATGAGCAAGACAAAAATGGTGAAGGTACTGTAAATCCGATATTTAATACAATAATAGTATTAATGACGTAGTTATCTATAGTTTTCCACTGTAAGACTTGCTAAGCATTTTTTGCATTTGCTTATTGTCCAAAAGAGAAGTGCTCCGATTTTCTTCCCTGTACACATGGGCGACAAGTACTCGCATGCAAAAAACGCGTTCAGCATTAAATTTACAGCCGGTACACACGGGCGACGAGTTGTTGCGTTGCAAAACAAACGGAGAAAGACTTCGATATGGTCACATTCATATTCTATGTCGACATCTGCAAAACATCGCTACGAAGTTTCTTAAGAACTTTCGTATGTCGAAAAACTCATTTGATGAACTGTTGCTCATTACCAAATACAGTATTATACATTATTGATTGATACGAAAATGAGAAAAGCTGTTATGCCAGAGAACCGGACATTTCCTCAAAACTATCACATGGCCAATTACAGGATCACATAAAAATATATAATATGTCGTCAGTTGAACATGTTCGTGTGTACACTACACCGTATATCCATCATGTGCACTGCTAACTGCAGCATCGACAAGTCCTGAAGAGCGTTCTGCATGACACGGACGTCACCAAAATTGTAGCGCTGCAGATGTCCGTTCCATCGAACGTACGACGATAGTGGGTGGTATTAATAAAGTAAGCACCTGTTTTTTACTTGAAATTTTGGAGTACGTACCTCACTTGGTATGAATATAATGATGAAGAAAGTGCTCAAGTAAGAAGCACCTACTATTTTTGTAAGTATGTGCTTAAAAGAGAGTATCTGCTTAAGTTTCGGTATGAATAAAAAGGAGCAGGTGCTAACGAGATGAAGCCTCTACTCAAATAATTTTAAGTTATCTGGATAGGATGCTCAGCATCAGTAACAAACGTACTATCAGACGCGATGGCTGAATTTATGCCTATTCATCGTGCCAGAAAGCATTATAAAGTTCGGAGAGTATCTCGGAATGTAGACTATCGGGTTTTATATAGGTTTAATAAGAACAACGTGGAATGGTTGGCTCAACATTTCTTAGGAGATGAGTTTCAAATCAGAGGTCTCTTAACATCTACTGAGAAAATGCGAATTTTTCTTCGTTACGTTGGCGACCCGGGATTTCAAAGTGGCGTTAGTGAGGACATTGGTGTACACCAAACAACGGTATGTGTAACAGTGTATGGATAAAGTTTCCATCAACCGTAGAAGCATTGCATCAAGAGAAATATAAATGGCAAGAAAAATACAATTTCTCTTCCGCTATCGGCGCAATTGATTGCACTCACATCCCTATTGTTAAACCAGCAGTACATGGAGATGAATATGTCAATCGAAAGGGATTTTGTAGTCTTAACGTCCAGGCTACTTGCAACGTTCGAGAAGAGTTTACAAGTGTGGATGCATCAACTTCTGAAAACCTCCAGTATTTACGTTTTGTAAAAAAGTAGTCTTGTAGAAATATAAATAATGTTTTGGATTTAGTTTGATTTATGTTAATATTTTATCACATACAGAAATCCTCGCTAAGAAATTATAATAATAATGTTAAACAGTATTTTTTTTAGTTTCAAAAGCAAATTTCTGCAAAATGATGCAACTAAGAAACATTCGGAAAAGCATTTTTTTCCGTCTTTGTCAATTTGTGTGTTATTTGTGTGTTTTAGCGAACATGGCAACTTTGAATAAAAAATTATAAACATTTTTTAATTGGTGCGTTCGTTTTCGTTCAATTGCTGGATCATGAATTAAAATAATCTGAAAATAAATTTCTTTTCCATTTTGAGGAAATCAAACGGTTCCGGCAAAGACTTATGTAGGGGTATTATGATTGACATTTATTGGTCCAATTTCAACAACAGTTAAAACAATAATTGTCGGAATAAATGTGTATTTTCAGTTGGATCATTTTAGATCTTTTTTAAGCAATTGAGCGAAAACGGAAAATGAAGTGCGGTGTTGCAATTTAAAAAAATATTACTGTCATGACTACTGCACAAACTAGCAATGCTGGAAAAAATATTTTCACGAATTGTTCTTGGTTTCATCATTCTGTAAAATTTGAATTTGGAAACTAGGTATGTATCCACCTTTTTGAATAAAAAAAGGTAGCCTATGCCCGGTTTAAAAAACAACACCGTTTTCTATATTGTTATTGTATTTTTGGTTAAACTTCAACAACATAATGATCAAATTATTAATATTTTTTATTAAGTTTAAATTAAAGATAGTAGGGATTTCTGGATTGCATGTAGTCGTTCCCTGAGCTTCTGTTACTTCTCCTTGACTATCGCAATTATCGTGCCGGCTATCCTGATCTTGCTTTTTTCCGGAGTAGTATTTCCTTTGCAAACCTAAAGACTTGCACTTGAAGTTCTTGTGTACTAAGGTGTCTAGTTTCATTTGATTCTGGTAATTTTACCTTTTGTTTTTGCTTTTTCAAGGATGCTTCTTTTACAGGTCTGCGCACTGTAGAAGACGCCGGTGATGTTCCAGGCAATGCAGAGCTGGAACTTGCATTCTTAAACGACCCCGTAACGGATGTTATAAAGGACCCATTTTCTTCTAGCTGAATTTCATAATGTTCACAGTCAAGACTGACTCCTTCGGTCTCAGTCCTAGGCGCTCCTACACCAGCAGAAATTGCACCTAAAAAGAATACGTATTTTTAGTTACCTTAATAAAAACTAGATATATCTGGAACATAGTACCTTTGCAGTATTAGGAGATATTTTAACAATTCTCGTAATACGTATTATATTATGATGAAACATATATTTTTCGCAATTAAGAGGGAATACGCCAAAAAATTTACGCTTGTAAATGAATGGAAAACATGACCAACTTTTGGCTCAAATACTGACCCTATTTATCGATAGATTTCGATAAAATAAGATTTTTGAATCTTCAAACATCCAAAAGTGTACGAAAGTTAGTTATATTTAGTCAACCCTTAAGTAATTTTAATGTAAAGAGGAATAATCCAATTGTTATCCTATGTTTCCAATATGTTTTGAATCACCTAAAATTATTCGTTTTAAATAAAAATAACTTTCGCACACCCACAGAAATATCCACAAAGCCTTTATAGATTTTCTTTTTTTTAAAATTCGTGTTAAAAGATTCGTTAAAATAAACATTTTTGCTCTGGCGCAGCTCTCCTATACTCGTAGTTGTAAAAATTGCTAATTAAATACTATGAATTTTTCACACAATAGATTTACCTTTTACTCTCCCAATTCAAGGATTTATCTCTCCTTCCATATATGTAAAGAATTTAGCTTCCCATCCTCTTAGTTGGATCTTTTTATTTCCTCTTTGATTTTTATCAGTCTTTCTTTTTATTCTTGCCTTCAGATTGTTTAACTTTTTCCATATCTGTGCTTCACTCATTTCTATTCCCAATTGATCTGCTAGTCTACCTGTTATCTCCTCGATTGCATTCGCCTTTTTTCTTTTAATCTCGGGTATGTTAGACTTTTCAAAAAGAACGGGAGATTGTTCAATAATACTAACAAAACAAAGCATTTCACAAGTTTTCCCGTTGTCGTTGGTATCCTCTTCTGTATCCATTGTTGTAAAATATATTCACTGATATGACCTAGGACAATCGCACTAAATATCGCGATGCGGCACGCATATTATAAAAAACCTGTCGAGACTCGCAATTATCCACAGCGCCAGCGGTATTATTTGGAGCACGTACTCACAAGGCCGAAGCAGGTGCTCCATTTTTACATCAAAATTTTATTAATACCAAGTTTAAGTACATGCTCACTTTTTAGCATATACTCAATTTCTTCTTAGGCACGTACTAAGAGCATGTACTCACGTTTTATTAATACCACCCAATGTCTACTGTTCGATCTACATCAATGTGATATTAAACGGACGTTTTTTTGCGGTCGACAACTTGTTTTGTGTATACGGGCAGTGATGCAGTTGGACCTGTTCACACTATCTACTCGCGCCGATTTAGGGAGAAAACAGACTTTCGTCGACTCGACCGTCGAGTCGACGGTCGAAACAATTGTTCAAACGGGGCGACCACTTTCGTCGAGGAGGCAGTCGCGTGTCGTATCCGCGGTAAGCTCGACGCGGCCCACGGTCCCTGGCAACGATAGCAGGTTTGCTAGTAGTGTTCAATCAAAAAAGCAGTGGACCTAGACCTAGATGATGAATATGTAATGCTACTGTACTTGTTTTACCGGAGACAAATGAACAAAAAAAAAAGGGAGGCGTCTCTGTATTTATCCAATTATTTCACAGCGTAAAGAGAAAGGCTTTTTTACTATATTGTGGCCACAGCTAAAACAAGACGAAGAAAAATTTTTCAATTTCACAAGAATGTCCCAGTTTTCTTTTTATGAACTTCTCACTGCTATAGAACAAGAATTAAGAAAAGAAAATACTGTTATGAGGGACTGTATTTCCCCAGAAAAAAGGCTGGTAATAACTATAAGGTAAGAAAAAAAACTTGGTTTATTATTTGTCTATTCTCATAGTCATGAAATAAAACATCGCCTTACGAATATTTGAACATTGTGCAATTTATTGGAAGCGTTGAAATATTCTATGATTATGAATAAAATATATAATACGTACTAGAAGAAGCAAATCAAAAGAGGCTTAATTCGGAGTCAGCTTCAGCTGTGCAGCTGGAAACGTATGACGCTATCGATTCGGAAACAGATTCTGCAGGAGACGGTGCTGCCAGGGGAACTTGAGTAGAAGTTGATGACTCAGTAGAATTCATTGTGCGTTGCAAGTTCAGGGATGTATTAACTTGAAGTTCTTGATAATTTGGCGGAGGCTGACTGAAGTGAGATGGTGTTTGCTGACAATTATATAAAGTCTGATATCGTGGTTGGAAAACATCAGGCTGTACTTGAGGGTTTTCTAAGTGGGCTCGTGCACCAAACTCTGAACGAAAATTGCCCACTTGATGAAATGTTTGCCTTGGAGTCGGAGCCGCTGACGGTGCATATTTCAAAAGAATTTGCATAATTTCCATTCTCACTGCCAATTTCGAATCTTCTGGAATGTTCTTTAAAGTCGGATGCAGCGAAAGCAAAAAATGGAAATCATCATCTTCACATTTTTCAACCCGCTGCTTTGTTTCTGCTTCACGTCTGGCTGCTGTGTTAGCTTCTATAGAACTAATTATTTTCATTTCCACCGGATCTAATCTTCTTCTTTTCGCAAAAGATTTTTTGTTGGATGAAGTAGATGGTCCAGGCTGTGTTGAATCGTCAGGAAAAATATCAGTTTCTTCCGTTTCTCGTTGGACAATCTCACTTTCCTTATGTTGCTCGTCCAGAGAATTGGTCGTAGACTTATTGTCCAGTATATTGTTTAGAAAACCGATCTGCGTGGCATATATATAGGGTGTTTTCTTTTTTCCTGCTGAGCCTGATTTAAGTTTTTTATTAGATTTCCTGTCCTTTGCATACCGGTCTCTCAAATTCTTCCATCTATCCTGCACCACCTTACCTACGAGTAAATAAAATAACAAAAATTGAGAAACGTCAATTCACAATTATACAATGATCGGTAAAAATGGGCATTATGCGGGAAAGTTCTTTATTATTAATTTATGGGAACGTTTTTCTTTTTTATTTTCGGTGCACGGCTTTTCATCAAATTAAGTATTATAGACTTTTCTGACAAAATGATAATAAATCTTGATTGTTCGGTTTTATTATAGAATTTATATATTCTTTCTTTTAGGTATTTGGCTACCGGTTGCTCGTTAGCTGACCTGCATTTCGCTTTTCGCGTGGGAAGATCGACGGCTAGTCAAATAGTGAAGGAAGTGTGCGAGGCGATATGGAAACGTTTAGCATCCTCTGCATTCCCTATTTTTTCACAAAGGAGGTGGATGGAAATTGCTGCATCATTTGAAGAGTTTGCTCACTTCCCACATTGCATTGGAGCCATAGATGGCAAGCATATTCGTATACTACAGCCACCAAATAGTGGGTCGATGTTTTACAATTATAAAGGGACATTTTCGATTGTTCTTCTGGCTATGTGCGATGCGAACTATCAGTTTACCTATGTAGATGTTGGCGCTTATGGGAAATGTAGTGATTCTGGGATTTTCAAAAATTCCTCTCTTTATGAGAAAATACAAAATGGGTCCGTTAACATTCCTGAGGCCTCGCCTATAGGAAACTCTAAGACCTCATATCCATTTGTTATTGTTGGTGATGAGGCCTTTGCTCTCTCTGAAAATGTGCTACGACCGTATGGCGGCAAATGTCTGAGCGTCAAAAAAAAAGTTTTTAACTATCGCCTATCGAGAGCGAGAAGGTACATTGAATGTTGCTTTGGAATCTTAGCTAGTAAGTGGAGAATATTTCAAAGACCCTTGAATGTTGATATTGATCTAGCAGAGTGCATAGTAAAAGCGGCCTGCATTCTCCACAATTTTGTACGGCAACGTCACGGAGGAAGGGATGACACAAACGGTTTAGAGTTATGCCACTTTCCTTCCATTGATAAGGATAGCTTGAGTAGAGCTAATAAAAACGGCCTAACAGCAAGAGACAAATTTGCTGATTACTTTGTGGAAGTCTCACCGCTGCCCTGGCAACATCAGTCTATACGTTGAAACGTCCCACTCAATGTTTTTTGTAATATTTTTTTTTTTTGAAAAATGATTACAATGTTTAAAACGCGAAGACATTATGAAGTGTAATTACATGTAATTAATAAAATCAAAACTAACAACATACCAGTTTTCTTTTTTTCCTCCAAAGTAGCATCTCCTACAAATATATTAATGATCTCTTCCCAAGCGTGCTTTTTCTTTTGCCTGTCGCCATACTCGCTTTTTGTCATGTCCCATATAGCTGGTCTCTTCTCCACCTCTTCTATTAATTTTTCTGGGTCTATTTCGTGTGCCATCCCTAAAATCTAAATAAATACAGAATTAAAAAAAAAGATATTGTTTCAAAATAAATATCTTTTAATTTGAGAAGATAGCGGAATCTATAAAATCCGTGATCCAACATATTCAATCGCGTGATTCAGTACTTACGTGTGTGAATTTCGAAATAAAATGCGTCTGAATTGATACACTTCAGAACATAGCATGATGTGTCGATGCCGCGTCGAGTGCCGCTGCAAAGTCGCGGGGAAATCATATGTCGACTCGACTTCAAGCGGCGGGGCGCCGCGTCGAGTATCTGTGTGTTTCATTATATATAAAGTTATATACACCATGCGTCGACTCGACCGCCGACTCGACGGTCGAGTCGACAAAAGTCGATCCGTCTGTTTTCTACCTAAACGTTCGTTTGCAACGCGTCACCGCCCGCATGAGGCAAATGCTGCCAGGGCTCGGAGCGCGAAGTCTTGTCGTCCGTGTGTACCGCAGATCAGATATGGAGTTTTGAAATTGTCCTACAAATGTACAGGTTGTTCATAAGGTCGATACAAACCTTATTAGGGCTAATAGTATAACTCAATTGGTACAAAGACGAGCCTAGAAAAAAATCAAAAGCATGCGTTGAATCATCGCTTATTCAATATGAGAGCTCCTTTGTCCCGTTATTCACTATATCCTGATGTATATTCCGCCTATATTAATAGTTTCCAAGTTACCTAAAGATCGCATACATATTATAAGGTTTATCTTGGTTTACTGGATGGTTTGATTTTGGAATTCATCTTGGCAGGCATTCAAATGCAAGCATGTCAGGACTTTATTGTAATTATCATAACACCTATCTACAAAAAAGGTAGTAAACTTGCTATAGAAAACTATAGACCAATAACTTAAATTTCGAGTTTCACCAAAATGGGAGAACGAATAATCAATTAAGATTAATAACGATTTTCAATAGGTCTTACATAATAATCAATTTGGATTTAGTTAAAGTGACCCAGCGTCAATTCAAAGTTTCGCCATTTCTGCCAGAACACCCGAATATGTCAGTACGTGAGTGTAGAAGCATAGTCCATTATAAAATATTTGATAGACTTTTTTTATAACTGCAGATATACTCGTATGCACAAATGACAAAAATGGGATGGTCACACAGGATTTCTCTTTCGTGGCATTACTTTTATATGTCATTGATACCCCTTTGCGCCAATTAGGGATGTTTCAGAAGTCCGCATCAGTAATTCCGCAGCATCCGCATCAAGTTGTGCAGGTCGCGAAGTAGTAGTGCTACCGTTGCACATATACTAAGTGACATATAAATCCGAACACCCAGTTTAAATGGTTTTATTTTAATAAAAGTTGGTGAATGTATTTATCTTACTGTAAGTAACAAGTGAAAAAATTTTTAGCCTTATCAGTTGGACATTCCGGTTTTTATACTGCTTTTTTTTATTCACTAACGCTTTAAAAATGAATATTTCAGCCGCAGTAAAGAATCAACGTTGGCGGATTTTGGTTCTTGACATCCTTTACGATCGGTTACGATGCCTAGAGTACGGAGACCTGTACGATTTCGTCAACTTAGTGAGTTTGATAGGGGCCGTATAGTGGGACTTCGGGAAGCTGGACTATCTTTTCGGGCAATTGCAGTTAAAGTGCAAAGAAGTGTAGACACTGTGGTTAGGTGTTGTCAGGCATGGCTTCGAGAAGGCCGTACGCAAAGAGCAAGGGGCACTGGACGCCGCCGTAGAACAACAGACCGTGAAGATCGCCGCCTAAGATTATTGGCCTTAAGGAACCGTTTCTCCACTACCAGATCCATTGCAAATGAATGGTTTGCAGAACACGGAAGACCTATTGGCATGCGAAGTATTTACCGACGAATGAGAAGTTTTGGCTTGTTTTCATACCGCCCACACTGGGTCCTCCCTTTAACTCGAGAACACCGACGTAATCGCCTTGAGTGGTGCAGACAACGGTCACTCTGGGATCAGGAATGGAACAGTATTATCTTTAGTGACGAGTCTCGATTTTGCATGCACGATGGTCGTGCCCGGGTTAGAAGGCGACGTGGTGAAAGGAGGAATCCACAGTTTTTTGTTGAAAGACATGTTCATCACACTATGGAGTTATGGTTTGGGGTGCTATAGCTCATGGTTCCAGGTCACCTTTAATCTTCATCAGAGGTAACATGAACGCGCAGCGTCAACATAATGATGTCACATTGTTACCATGGCCACCAAGATCTCCCGACTTTTCCCCAATTGAGCACGTGTGGGATATGATGGGTAGGAGATTGCTCAATTTGCAACGTCCTCCTCAGACTCTAGAAGCACTTCGAGAGGAGTTTGTGGTTGCCTGGAATGAGATACCACATTGACCACCTGATCAGAAGCATGCCTAGGCGCGTTGGAGAATGCGTAGCACATCAGGGTGCATCCACACATTATTAAAGATCAAAGGGCTTTAAAGCAGTGCAATCATTTTGAAATTTTTATCATTTACTTATTATGCTTCATTAAGTACTTATAAAAAATTTTATTAAAATAAAACCATTTAAACTGGGTGTTCGGATTTATATGTCACTTAGTATAGAATGGGTTGCTTTTTTCATATGAGTAAAAATTCACTGATCAAGAAAATATGAAAATGGTCACCAATAGCACACAGATTCTTAGTAGCAGCACTATCCTATGTTCTAGTGAGTAGCTGTTTAGTAGCGCAGGTTCAGTTTGAGAACCTATGCGAAACATGCTTAAGCAGGACAGAACGGAATAGTCATTCAAAATAAAGCTGACCAGTTGCGTACCCAGCTAAGCGACACGATACCATTAATTTGTTTCAACAAAAGTATTTGGCAGTCCATGGTAGCCAGTCTTCGCTTATTTCAACTGATAAAACTGAGCCGCATTTTTTTAATTTAACGTTACCCATAAAGAATGTATATGCCTTCTGAGTCATCATCAGTTGGACATTGGCCGGGAGTCAGGAAGTCGCATTCGCGTGACGTAGCTTGCACCTTGTTGATTCTTTAGTCACTGCATGATATAGATGTTTTATACACGAGCAGTCGCGTAGGAGGACATGGCACTGTGACTGGTATCAGGAACTTAAAGACGCCGTGCTAATCCGATTTTTGAACTACCTAAAAGCCGTCTGTCACGATACGGAATTTTCTGCTAAATTTACTACGTTAAATTCCGTACAAAATTAAGAATAGTGTCAGACATAATTTAGTACATAATTTTCTATGAACAAATTGAGTGCTAAATTTTTAAGAACTTGTTCTAAATAGTATCATGCTAAAAAGAGCAGTGTGACTAGTGATTAGTAATAAACGAGTAAGATAAATATGATTATTTATATGCTGTAAAGGGCAAACCCTATAAAGTCAAAAACTCCAAATTAGCTGCGTTAGATAAAATCAGAATGACTTTAGAACCAATTAGATCTATAGGCTAGTGAATTCGCCACTAGAAGCTCTTTATTCAGCATACGCAGCTCACCCATACCCTGGCCCCCCTTCCTTAACCATTTTGCGATACCAAATTCTTTTACGTTTCCGTTTACTTCATTATTTTAGGAGTTGGCCAGCCACAACGAAGTATGGTGCTGCCGCAGCCGCATAAAATATATTGTTAGATTTGATAAAAACAATACCGAATCTGCACTATTAAACACGTAACCACGACGCGCTGGGCCACGACAGCCAAACACCCGAGCGCGCTGGAGGTCGTACCATTTCTGCCGTCGCCTCCCAACCTGGCCGATAGCGGTCGGCCCAGCTGACACTCGTAGAAAATTTAGAGCAAATTCAACGAGTTCCTAACATGGCCAATCCTGCGGGAACTTCGTTCTCGAAGTCTCTCTTTTTTTTTAATAAGTGGCCAAGGAAGGAAATAATAGTTGGACTAACTTGAAGTAAATTTACTGATTATCAAATACAACCCAATTTAGATATTCAAAAACATTTAAATAACACATCTTAATCCATCTCCTATCCTCCGATCTCGCACAGATCTTCCGAGTTCTCCCTGCGATTTAAAAAAAACTCATTCATTGACTTCATGATTACAGATGATCAGAATATTTTCCCTCTCACACATAACAAGCATCCCTTGGACTAAAATACTGCACCCCTTTTTTGCATGCTTAAAGATGGCGGACATACAAGCTCCCACAATGTCATATCATACAAAAACCTACAGCCTCTCAACATTTTACACGGTCCAGGCGTAAAAGCGGGCAACACATAGACAAAACGAAAAGCCTACACGCCTTCAACGCAACGAAAAGCGTATAAGCTCTCAAAGTATGAATACATGACGCAAAGCGTATAAGCTTTCAACACACAAGCATTACGTGGAGCGTGAAAGCTTTCAACGTATTACACCGTACAAAGGGTAAGAGCTTTCAACACATAATGCAAAGCGTATAGGCTTTCAACGTTTTACATCGTGCAAAGCGTAAGAGCTTTCAACGTTTTACACCATGCAAAGCGTAATAGCTTTGAACACATAACGCAAAGCGTATAAGCTTTCAACGTTTTACACCGAGCAAAGCCTAAGAGCTTTCGACACATGACGCAAAGCGTATAAGCTTTCAATGTTTTACACACAGCTTTCAACACACAGAAATACTAGTAATAGTCAGCAATTTCCTAACACGTGCCATTTAGTAATCTTTTTACAATTATCATCATCTAACCTTAAGTCTTCATCGAACATTTCCAATAAATCGGGAAGATCCATTTCCAAAGAATAATCGTTCGGCCATCCTCCTCAATTGTTCCCTTGCAGCTTTTGTGATGGTCGATTTTCCGACGCGTTTCAATTCATAGCGACCTTCTCTGGTTTTGCCCATGACTTCGAATGGCCCTTGGAATTCGTATCTTAGCTTCCCTTGATGCATTTTGTCGTCCGGATGCATTAGGACGAAGTTTCCATTTTTAAATTCAATACTGTTCCGGCGTTTTTCGTTGCAACCGATTTTTTTATTTGTCGAAGTTTCTAATCTAAGTGGTCAT